TCCATGCCGCCACTTACCGAGGTTTCACTACTTACGGCCGGGTCCTTATATAGAGTGAGTAGGCCTTGGGTTTTGTTGCGTGTTCGTGTGTGTGATGTGGGGTGAGAGATGTGTGCTGTTATAGTGGGACACACAACAGCATTATTATCCGGAAAAAGATTAATTGCCGATGGACCTGTAGTTCTATTGTCTTAGATAAGGGCCCGTTCGGTTGCAGAAGAGGGCTTGGGAAAACCTGCCAAAACTGACAAAAACTGTCAGTTTTGACAGGCTTTCTGCCCATTTCAACTCCTTTTTTCAGCAACCAAACGGACCCTAAGAGCCCTCCGAGCGAAATTTATTATTATTTTTCTTTTTACTTACAGGAGGCCTACTCATATATCAAGAACTATTTTCTCTTTCTTAGAGGGGGGTCAAAATTTTCTCACTAAGGAGGTCTATTTGCAGCAATAGAACTAAAGGAGGTAACCCTTGGGAAACGATGTGTTCTCTGTAGGTGGTGACCTGATATTGGACTGCACAAAGTACCTACCTTTCTTTCTGTAGGTGGTGACTTGATATTGGACTGCACAAAGTACCTACCTTTCTTAGTGAGACATCGTGTTAACTTCAAAGGAAGTGGGTTCCATTTGACATGCACAAGGACGGTAAGTGATGTTTTCTAGTATAGAAGGATTATTTCTAGCTAATAGCGAAGATGTAACCCAAGTTTAAGAAGATAATGATTGTTTTATTGAAGTTGATTTCGCCGCATCAATCTCCCAAGCTATGTTCGCAAAGAGACAATAAAACTCTGTGCTGAGGCCTGAGAATGTAGAGGAATCACAAAGCACAGGTTATGATGAGAAAAAGATATTTTCGCTAATGCGTGTTTGATTTGATATGAAGTTGCCAAGGTACACAACTTCATCCGTGAAAGTTTACGCAACCTCCAGGAATTAGATCCAATCTTTTTTTTGAAAAACAATGATGAATTTAGACTCTTGTGTCTCAGGAAAGGAACTTGTTTCTGCTACTTGGGCCTCCCTTGGCTTTTAATTATTGTTTAATTAGCACTATGATTGAATAGATAATGTTTTCTTTTATGTGCGTTGTTATCCTCCTATTCAGTATTAGGAGTCTTTCTTTTGTCTCTTTCTGGGGACGTGGAGTTTGGTAGGTTTTGTGCCTTCACGGCTATGGTTAGCTTAATATACTTAGAATGTAGGTTAGATACTTTCTTGATGCATAACATGGACATAAAATGTTTGACATCCTATGAATTAGGGAGGAAGTGTCTCTAATTATTAGGCTTGAACCTGCAAGAAAATATGGGCCTTAAAAAGAAGCTAGGAATCAATTTTAATCCAAAAGCTATAGCTATCAGGTATTGAGCCAAACTCTCGTTTAAACTCATCACTCTTTCTTATCTTATCCGATGTGGGACTATACTCACATATTAATCACCTCAACAACTCTCCCTTAATTTGTGAGTATAATTCAAAACTTCTACCACTTCGCTGGTGGTGGCTAACTAGACTATATCACTCCTACGGGCATCCATGGATTCTCCGACACCTTCAGGCTTCACATCAAAGATCATCTATTTTTTTTTAAATTACTGCCTTAAACAGAAGTTAGGAATCAATTTTAACCCAAAAGCTATAGCTATCAAGTATTGACCCAAATTCCTATTTAAACTCATCACTCTTTCTTATCTTATCCGATGTGGGACTATACTCACATATTAATCACCTCAACAGATGCTGGAACTGGTACATTTTTCACTTAGGGGGTGTTAGTCAATTGGGACATTTTCATGTAAAATGGGATAATTGTTAAAGTGGAATAATATTTCGCTAGTGGGATATTTTAGTGGGATAACTAGGAACAATTTTGTGAAGCAGGATATTTTGATAAAATAACGTGGGATAAATTTTTATAATCATGAAGTATATATTTATGCATTTTGAAGATATAAATACTATTTATGTATTTTAAACTTACTATTATTAATTGATAATTGCTTACAAGAATGTTCGTTACTATTAAATAACTTTTGGTTAGACTATAAGATATTGACAATTATTATTATGATGATGGTCTAATGATGGTGATAACCATAATAGGAAATAAGTAAAGAAAAAAATAAAAAATAACAAAATAAATACGAGCTCTAGTTTTTTACCACATAGTTCCAAGCTAAAACTTGGAATAATTTGAGAGACTAGAACTCTCATTTTTGTATAGAAAAATAAAAAAAGTGGGATAATTTTGTACAATTATCCCAATTCTAGTTTTGTTAAAGTTCTGCTTGACTAACACTGTAAAATTTTATTCTAGTTTTAGTTCTATGTGACTAACACCTTAAAATTTTGTTCTAGGTTTAGTTCTATGTGACTAACACCTTAAAATTTTATCCCACAGATTATCCCAGTTCTAATTTTAAGTTCTAGGTGACTAACCCCCCCTTAGGAACTTTTTTCCTGTAAAAACTTTAATCGCTTCTATCGTTATATTTTTTTTATTGTTTAGGCAATCAAATATGAAATACATGTTAATGGACTTAATATGTTGTTTTAGGCATATACAGATCTATAGATATTTACAACCCTGGTAGACTTTTGTGGGACTGTCTTGCAATACATACAATTAATAGCGACGTTAATCTCGTGGATTCTTGATTATTGATCTTTTACCATTGTTTAAGCATTAATTCGTCTCTGAATTTTTGCCTGTATTTCATTTCATTTTCGAGTACTTCTTAGAAATATGCTTATACTACCCAGAGTACGGGAAACAATTTAAGTTTTTTGTAGAGCTTACAGCTCAAGCATCTTGCTCTTGTTTCTGTTCATATATACTTAATTCAGCGTCTCTATTATTCGTTGCAAAGCTGCAGCCTGAGAAATATTTCTTAATAACCTGTAGACTTGTTGAATTCATGAACTCAATTATTTGCAAACTGAATAAGAGTCCAATAATTCTGAACTCTCGGTTTTCCTCCTCCTCACTAACAGTGTTATATGGGTTTTTTTTTGTCAAATTGCCTTCTAACTGTTTTAATGGAATGTTGTAAAGAGTGACGATGAAGGTTCGCTCCTCTTTCTGATTTCCATTTTACAGTTCGGAATGCAATTCGCAAAAACTAATATAAACTACTAAGGACTTACATAATATATCTTTTGATAGGGCATTTCGCCCTATTTTTACTTTAAAAAAAAAGAAAAAAGAAAAAAAAGAGAGGGAAAAAAGAATCACAACTCTAAAACCAATTGTTTGAGTTGTTTATAGAGCTGCTAAGAGCTGAAACAATGACTTCTGATTCTGGAGGATGAAAGTGAGATAATATAGGGAGTGGAGGAGCCAGGATTTTACTTTAGAGGTGGCCAATGAGGTAACGATCATTATTGTTTTGATACTTTGGAACTTCCCAATGATTATATCCGACAAAAAAAAAACACCTTACAATATCATCATAAATTTCAGTAGAGGAATTTACACAGTTATGTTTCACGGCAATTAAATGCTTAGTTATTAGGAGGAATTAACTATAAAGAGTTACATAAACAAGCAGGAAACCTGCAACTTTTTACAGGAATCAGAAACACGCCCTTATACCAGGCTTTGGAAATGCTTGAGACCCTCCTCTCTCAAACGCAGAGAATACAACATAAAATCAGAGCATAATACCAGTACAAAGTATTAGTACAAATCTCTGAGAGAAAATAAATACTCTCCCTTACCTTATTTGTTACATATTAGTACCCTATAGAGCCGCCTGAATTAATCTTCGTCAGGCCAGAGAAAGGCACCTACAGCAGATTTCCTCTTCTGCTCAAGGTCTCCAGTCACTGGAAGTCCATACTCAGTGAAGAGATGGTCAAGCTGCCACTCTGGCATCGTCTCATAATCGTCCTTAGTGTACCTCGGGTAGTTCACTGGCATCTCGAACGAGTCACAATTTTGCTGTTGCTCTTCGCCGTTGGGTGTTGGGCTTTCTTCAATCTTCGACGACTCCATTATTTGCTCCTCGGCTCCTTCTCTTTTCAGATTCTTGTTCAGTGTTGAGATGTTATGCTCGCCAAGGGCGATTTATAGGGCGGAAAGGCGGTGTATATATTCCTAGTGGTATAGATAAAATTGTATTGAAGACCAGTAGTAGAGCTGATCTTTAGATCTTTTGGCTAGCTATTTATTCTTTAAATTACATACTGATTGTTAATCGCAAAAGAAAAGGTAAAATATGTTACCTACATTGTAGGTGTGTATTTTCGTTGGAATATAATCTGCTCTCATTACAGGTTACAGGCATGTATGCTTGGTATTGAGCTTTCGTAAAGTTTGTCTAGTTAATCGTCTACGATTGGGTTGATTAGTTTAGAAAATTCTCACTGGAATTAGATTCAATGCTGATTTAGACTTATGATGATGATTCTACTAATGAGGGTATATGCCCCCGAAAGTTAAGAAGATAATGGATATTAATTTAATCTTTTTATATTTTACCATTAGCTAGTGTCTATCTTTGATTCAATTGGTGTCCTGTTTATATCTTTCCTGGCTGAAGATAAGCATGGTGGTGATTCTCAGTTTTTTCGCTTGTTTTATAATTTGTATTCTTTTGCTCATATTCCATCTATTCTATTCCAAGATTGTCATCATCGGTAGCCACTTTATTCAAGTAAAAAGGAGGAAAAGGTTTGATGATCATTAATGGCCTCCTATATATTTTCCTCAAATCATGTGTTCTTGGTTATTATTGATGTATATGAATCGATATCGCAGTAGCATTAGTTTTAATATATTGGTTGTAATATGCACTGTAATACATCTCCGACATTGACGTGGAAAATGTAGGTCCATAGCACTGATACAATAAATAGCTAGGATGGGAGAGTAAATTGACAAAGTCTTGGAAGAGTAATTGAGGTTCAATCCAATCGAGCTTGACATGTTCATGCTCTTAATTGACAAGTTGAGCCTGAACCCAAATAATTCACACTGTAGACTCTATAAAGCCCCAGCACTCTGATACTTGAGAATTCAAACAAACAGACAAACTCTCTCTACATTAGTAGAGCATGGGCTCGATAGCTCAGGGTTCGAGTTCCATGGCTAATATTGGCCATGGGAAGAAGGAGAAGGGGGCGAGTAGCCATTTCCAGATGCCATTGCATTATCCGAGGTACACGAAGTCTGATTATGAGAAGATGCCGGAGTGGAAGCTCAACTGCCTCTTCAATGAGTACGGGCTCCCTGTCTCTGGGGATCTTAACTATAAGAGGAAGTATGCAATGGGTGCCTTTCTTTGGCATTGAATGAATTGATTATACAAAAGTGCATGGATGAATTAGAAGATACAGTCTAAATAAAAATATTCTAGAGATGTATGTATGTGGTAAATAAAAATTAGCGTTTGTATTGTTTACTTACTAGCTTCATGTGAGCTATATATATGTTTAGGGTTGTACATGTGTTGGCAGTGTTGCTCTGTATTCCCGTCTTTGTTAATAAGTTATTAGTTACTCCAATAACTTTTAGGCCCAGGATTTTTCTTGAAAAAAAAAAGTGTTCAGGATTGTTATCAGGAGAAGGAACCTTTAGGGCCTGTTTGACAACTCTCCTTAAACCAGTTTAGCGGGGCATCTGTCCCAGTTTAGCATAAAATTGGACCAGGACTTTAAATTGGTTTTGTTAGGCCAATTTTTTTCCGCCTAAAAAGAGGGTCAGAATCCCAATCTCCACCCCAGAGGTCGAAAAAACTGAACTGTTTAGGCCAAAACTGATTTTGTTTTCTGTGCATGTGCGCCTGAGTATTGGTAGTTTCTTTCTTAATGTTTAGAACTTTCCACTTGTGCCTAATACGGTTGTGAATTTGTGATAATATATACATGATACACTTAATTGGACACTACTTAATCTCTAACTAATGACAGCTTAATTAGGTTAAGATAGTACTGACATCGATCACACGGTTATATAAGGTCACTAGTAGAAAAACGATCAACCTAGACGGAAATTTCCGTCTAGGTTGATTGAAATTCCGTCTAGATTAGGTCATCTAGACGGAATTCCGTCTAGTTTGGGTGGTTTATTTTGCTTCCGTCTAGATTGATGCAAACTAGACGGAATTCCGTCTAGGTTGATCAATCTAGACGGAAGTCAACCTAGACGGAATAAAAATTCCGTCTAGGTTGACAGACCAGACGGAATTCCGTCTGGTTTGTCAACCTAGACGGAATTTCCGTCTAGGTTGGTTTTTTACAACCTAGACGGAAATTCCGTCTAGGTTGACTCAATCTAGACGGAATTCCGTCTAGATTGCCTTTTTGCAGGGAAAAAAAATTAATTAAAATTTGTATTTCTCTGTACAATTACATTAATATTTGAATACATCCAGAAAATACTGTACACGCCACATTCAACCATCCAATCATAATCAAAATTCATAACAATTCCATTCAAAAACATCTATATAACCAAATCCAACACATTGTACAAATCCAACCATCCACTTCAAAATATACATCAATCAGTTCCGTCTAAAACACATCCAACAACATATATACTAACAATGCACATGACTAAGATATGATACACGACATGAATAAATATAGTGTTATAACAAATAAAACTGTTTATTGAATTAAAAATAAAAAAACCTCATCCATCGTCGGCGGCGGGGGTATCTCTATCCCGATTACGAGAACGGGTGCTGCTCCCTCCAATATCTCCACTCTGAATGTTTAATTGAATAATCATTATGTGGTGTTTGATAACATATTAGATAAAAATGAATTTATAAATATAAGAAAAAATAAGGTACCTGAGCACTACTCTGTCTAGCGCCAGAATTATCGCCAATCGAGCTAATGATCCGTATGACACCATCATACGCGCTATAATGAATAGCACCGCCTAAATATTGTATAACATACCCCATGAGATAGTCCATCGAGTTCGCCGTCAGCGCAACTCTAGTCATCTCATTAGTCACCTGAATATGCAGCTCCGGGTCAATTTTGTCAATCAAGAAGGCAGAGATACGTGCGACAAATGGCATAGCCTGAAAACTGCTTGTGGCTGCTCTATGCGATGTAGATGATGTGGAGGATGTTGTGGACGATCTAATGCTTATACCGGGTGAAGCTCCGACACCATGCAGAGGATATCTTCCTCTCCTATTATTAGGGAGAAATAAATATTAAACTTTGCTCTCAAATTCAATAATGGTAAACAAATATAAATAGTATGTAGTATTCAAATTGATTCGATTTTTCACCATCCTTACCTATTTCCTCTCCTATTATTAGGGAGAAATAAATATTAAACTTTGCTCTCAAATTCAATAATGGTAAACAAATATAAATAGTATGTAGTATTCAAATTGATTCGATTTTTCACCATCCTTACCTATTATGACCCATCAAGTTCTGTGTGAGATTGATGTTCTCCTCTGCAGAAAGCATGTGAGGGTCCGTCTCGGCTTGTTCCTCCTCCTGCGAAATGTACACAGATGCAGCCTCCTTGGATGCAGTCTCAAATCCCTCCTAAAGCACAAATTTATAGTTAATTCAAGATAATGACCATATTATTTGTGTTCTCGTTTCCTCGTAATGTTAACAAAATAGAATTAATAATACTACTCAAGATATGTATAAGTCTCACCACTAACTCGAGATTTGCCGTGATCTTATCCCGATTCCTCTCATCACCCCTATATTGTTCACGAAAAGTACCATATGCCGCTCTGGCCCTCAAGTGTATCGGCATTAATGATTTCCCCTGTCATATTATAAATTATGAGATTTCATAATCATACTAAACATTAAGATCTTTTAAATCTTTAAATGACATATACCGTATCTTGACAATAAACATCCTCCAGATTGGCGTAGGAGTGTGAGCCCAAGTGATGGTCATGCAGCTTCTTTCTTCTATTTTCTGACCCCTTCGTGGATTTATTCTTTAAAAAAAATTATGTAAATATAAAATGAAATAATATCTTAAAATTATAAACTAAATTTTATGAAACTAACCTTGGTGACATCGCTGTCCTAATACATGAGGAGAGCCGTGAAATGAATCTCGTCAACTCGGTCATCGAGGTTTAAAAACCTCTGCCAGTCCTCCTCATACCTGTCATAGGTTTCATGTTTGATCTCATGCCTCCATTGTTTGAGGACGCTTCAATGGCTTTTTTAACTTTAAGTAATCTCTTACTCCGAGCGTGTTAAATTTAGAATAGCGTTTTTTCCCAAACACAACTTTTGGAAACCCCTCAAGTAATTGAACGATCTCAGTACCTGTCAGTTGACGCGGCTTCATTCTTTTCTCAACTGTACCATCAAACTTAGCTGATAATTTTCTGTACTTATGACTCAAGGGCAACCACCTTCGATTAAACCAATAACAACTCTTTCGGCTATGTGGTAATTGAATAGCTTCAAATTCTGGACCACATACAGGATAATCACACTTGCCCTTCGTAGAGTACCCTGACATATTAGCATAAGCTGGAAAATCATTAATCGTCCATAGTATAATAGCACGTAATCTAAACGACTCTTTTAAATAGGCATCATATGCTAAAATACCCTCAGACCATAATTGTTTTAGCTCATCAATTAGAGGCTCTAAGTAGACATCAATATCATTTTCCGGAGCATGCTTACCGGGTATCAGTAATGAAAGTATCATAAACGGTTGTTTCATACAAAGCAATGGAGGTAAATTATATGGCATTAATACAACTGGCCACGTAGACCAGCCAGAGCTCATTACCCCAAATGGATTGAATCCGTCACTTGACAGACCCAGTCTTACATTTCTGCAATCTTCGGCAAATCGAGGATAAATTTTATCAACATGCTTCCAAGCTAAAGCATCAGCAGGATGTCTCAATTTACCATCGTCTACTCGATCATCCTTATGCCACCTCATATTCTTTGCCGTTTCCTTGTTCATGTATAATCTTCGCAATCTAGGAGCCAATGGAAAATGTCGAAGCACTTTGACTGGAATTTTCTTCTGTGTTATCCCTGTCTCCGTTCTAATCCTTGTTGAAGAATTTGTGCGCTGTTTCCACCTAGAAACTCCACATGTCGGACACTCTTGAAGGTCTTTATTGGCTTTGTGGTATAAAATACAATCATTCGGACATGCATCAATCTTATTATAATCAAGACCCAGAGCAGAGACAATCTTCTCAGCTTGATAAGTTGTTTGGGGTATGCTATTCTCTCCTCCAGGGATTACAGTCCGAAGCAAATCAAGAAGCATTTCAAAATAATTATCTGACATACCGCTAAGTGTCTTAATATGAAGGAGTTTCAGCATAAATGAAAATCTGGAGTACTCGGTACATACCTCATATAAGTCCTTTTCACTATCTTCTAGTAGCTCCATTATTCGCTTTATTTCTGCGGAGGAATGCATATCATTAATATTTTCGACACTCGCGACACCTCCTACCTCTTCATCTTCAACTTCGTTATCATCTTTACTTTTGTCTCCAATATCATCCTCGACATTATCATCAACATCATATTCTGTAGGTCGAGGAAAAATATCATTCAACAATGTTTCTGTGTCATCTATTCGTTGGCCACCGGACGTACCAACATGCATATTTGGATCCTCATCTTCAGTGATACCCTCCCCATGCCAGTTCCAGTATTTATATTTCTCATCAAAACCTGATTTTATTAGGTGAATCCGTATATCATTTCCATTCAGCAGGTTCAAATTCCTACACCTACAACAAGGACAGTACATAGCACCGCTTCTTAAATTTCTCGGATTCATTTCCGCATAACGCATGAAGGCTTCACAGCCCTCCTTGTATCGTGTGTCGTGAAATCTACGATGCCTAAGGATATCTATCCATGACTTGTCAGGAATTATCCTCATCTGTAAATTATATATAAATATTAAATACGATTAGTCTCACAACTACTAATACATCCATTACTCTTATACATTCAACACACATCAAACATACGTTCATATATCATTTAACAATATGAATATTTATCTACATAAAATATATATAAAACATACGTAAAAACTAATTACACTAATCTTGCGGCTGTCATAGGAAGACTTCTATCCATTAAGAATATAGTAGTGCTTACATCCAACTTCATATACTTTGTATATTTTCATTTCTTGAAAATTTCGGCAGCACCTACCCGCTGTTCTCCCTGTACACTGTGCGGATGTTATTATGCGTATCAGTAATAACCCGAAACGCAGAACAACATACGCTTATTGTACACGGAGAACAACGAATAGGTGCTGCCAAAACTTTCAAGAATGAAAATATACATAGTATACAAAGTTGGATGTATGCACTACTATATTCCTAACCCGTCCGAGAAGGACAGATCCAATAATTACGAATTTCAGTACCAATTTTTTATTCCTATAATATAAAATAAACGCTCATTTTTGGGAGAAAACTTCGTCTCCTACCCAAATCTGAGTCGTATTTCATATATTATAAGTCCAAATAATTGGATGTAATTATTGGACGGAAGTCTAGGGATAATGTTATTTTTTTTATTCACCTAAATTGGATTATAACACATTATAAAAATTTATAATGTGTTATATATCACTCTATTTTTAAAAAAAAATTATTTCACTTATTTTCACATCACAAACTTAAATAATCACACATACTTATAGCACGAATGAAACTTAAATGAGTTAGGGTTTATAAGTGTTTAAAAAAAATATGATTACTGGTGTTGTTCAAATGAATTAACATGTAATTAAGTTAGGGTTTTCAGAATTGAACTCGTTTATTTTTTTATCATAAATTAGGGTTTCTAAACTAAATTCAACAATAAATAATAATAATTTAAAAATTCTAAAGCTCGGTAGAAAAAACATACATTTTAGGCAAATGAAAGAACGGACACTGTGCGGAAAGGGAGGGGCTGCCGAGAGGGGAGGGGAGGGGGGAAGGGGGAAGGGGGGTGGTCGGAAGAGGGGGGTGTTGGCCTTCTTGTTTTGATGATGTTTAATAAACAATTTACCACTAATGTTATTTGTCTAGTATTTGTGTTTTCGTATTTATTGTAGACAAACAACGTGTTGGAGGATGGATGGAATAGAGCCTCAACGATCATATTCAATGGAGGTTGGTGGAATAGTAGAGTGAAGCCTTGCAATTCAAAGTTAAAGATCAAGTTCAAGCTTCATCCGCGAGATTACCAAGTCAAGCATATTGAAGACCAATCAAGCTTGGGTAAATTAGTTTAGGGCTTATATTATGTGTGTTAATACTTCAAGCTCAATATCACACACACATGTTTAGTTTGGTTTATCGTCGTTTTGGATTATAGACTTAACGAAATTATTTTATATCTTTTATCAAGTTTATAAATCTATTGGAAAGTTTTTAAAACTTTGTTTAAACTCATTTTGTCAAGATCAAGCTTTTACAAGTCCATACTTATGTGATTTTGCAAAATAATAAGATTCCATAATTGGGAAATGCAAATTGAAAAATTCTTTTTTGTAACATGTTCAAAATCATATTTTCAAACATTTCCCAAAGTTTCATCAAGTTTGAAATTGATTTGTTATGTTTAATTGAATTTACAAAATCATGTTTTTCGTTCGTGCATGTTCGTGCATATTTTTACAAAACAGATGAGTTTTCACAAATGGGAAGTGATATTTAAGAAATTCTTTCTTTGAAATGTTTAACTACATGTTTAGAAACCTTCCTCAAAATTTTACTATTTTTGGAGTTGATTTACTGTGCCCAATTGATTTTACAAAATCGTGTATGTCAGCAGATTTTTCAGAAACTGTATATCTATGTTCAAACATTTATTTCTCTCAAATGATAAATGATTTTTCAGAAATTCATTCTCTAACATGTTCTTCTATATGTTTAGAACCTTCTATCAAATTTTCATAATTTTTGGAGTTGATTTACTATTTTTAATTGATTTTACAAATCCATATATGTAAATTTCCAGAATGCTGAATTTAGGGGTATTTTGGTCTTTTCAGCCTATAACGGCTAGTAACGGCTAGTTTTTGATATTTTCAATTTTTGGGAGTTTGTGGCTGGTTTAAGAGGCTATAAAAAGCCCTCAACTTTCATTGTTTCTCATGGATGTTTAAGATAGTTTTAAAAAGAGTTTTACAAGTTTGTTTAAGAGTTTTTAAGTTTGTTTCAAGAGTTTGTTTATGAAGAAACTTTCACAAGAGCTTGAGGAGATCATTCTTTGGTGTTTGGGCATTCAACTCTTCTCCCTCTCTCTCTTGTCATCTTTAGAGAAGTGTTTCTAAACTCAATCTAGCTTTACATTTATATATAATTGTTTGATTATCATTTTATTAAGCTAGAATTTATTTGAGTTTAGTTTGATTTGATTTACTCTTTGTTTACACACACAACCATTGAGCTTATTGTATTTGCATACATTATATAATTGGGTTGTGGGATTGTGTGACATTGAGTGTGAGCCTACATTGTGTTCTCACCTTGTATTAGTGAACAAACACCTTGTTATTGTGCCTAATTGTATAGATCACTTTGTAATACACTTGTACACCAAGAGGAGTGTGTGGTGAGAGTCGGGGATCGTCCCAAGAGGAGTGGCGTCAGTTGACGAACCTAGGGAAAGGTTGTAACCGAGCACTTGAGGGAGACACGGCTAGGTCCAACACTTGTGAGGGTGTTGAGTGGGTTTGCAAGAGTGTGAGTGTAGAAGTTTCGGCTTTCAAACCGGATTGTGTTAGTGGATTTCTCCCCGGGAGTGGGGAGCGGAGACGTAGGACGGAAGGTCCGAACTCCGTGATCATTTGATTGTGTTTGAGTGTGCTTTGGCGTTTATTTATATTTGTGCTCATTGCTCATATCGTCATTGTCTCA